TATTTCGTTTTTATATTTTTCTACTGGATGGTTAAGACCAAGGTAAAGCAGGACCTATGCAACAAGAGTTGTAGCTTTTGGATCTGATAAGGTCAGTGAAATCCCCTCAGGATTTATCCTGAGGTCCTGTACCTCAAAAAGAAATCATTTTTAAAAATTGCCAACATTTTGTCCAAAGACAAACTAGACTGTGCTCATCAATCTGTATACTCGGCAGGGAAAATATCAATTTTGACAATCTGTCAGCTTCTTGCCAAGGAAACTCCAAAGACCATACCTGCTAGGTATCTTGAGCATGCTGCTCAGCAAAGGCATGCGCCGCCACTCCGCAAGTTCAGGCTTCTGTGCCGAGGCTCTGTAGGCCTGGGGTCTCTTCAGAATACACAAAAGCAATGAAGCTTTTTACTTCATCAGAACGGAAGAAGACAGACTCCGTAGGCATGATGGGAAAGGAAGCAGCAAAAATATCCCATACTGCCACGGGGCAGATAGAAACATGGCATTGTTCATTTTTATTCAATGCCTATAATACCTACTTCATTTGTCTCACTGCATTTCCATTCAACTCCTGAAAGGTTATATGTATATACCATTCTATGTGTGTGTGTTATAGCTGAAGAATATATAATGCTGTAACTTACAAAATTGGTGTATCTTACAAAATGTTAAAGCCTGTATGAGAAAAAAAATTGTATTTTCGCATGTAAACTGTTCTCTTTGTTCTATTAATTTTGACTAACTTCAACTGTTAACTATCCTAGTGTTGTTTTGCTTCAATAATAGCATATATACAAGTATAATGGTAAACAAAATGATATAGAATAATATATAATTTAAAATGCCTAGTTTTACATTAAAATAATACATCTTCTACTTTGAGGGGTGTCTGGTATGTTTATATCCTAGATTGACTTTCAAAAAAAATTGGTCATCTTCATATATATATTCAGTTCTGACCTGACAGTTAGCAGGAGGTTTTCCTATTGTTTTCTCTGAAAATATTAATTAAAAGGCTTCCAGGATTAATATATACTCATATATGTCACGTGGTTAAATGTGACAGTAGTAGGTTAACAAAAGATGCACTCATTCAAGTTGGCCATTAATATATGTGTGAAGTAGTTGCAAAAAAGGAAAAATTAACTTGTATTGACCTTCAAACCTACTTACAGATATTTTATGTTGTATTCTCTTTTATAGGGAAAATACCTGAACAGACTCCTTATCTTCTAAAAAAATATTTGAGGTAGGGGAAGTACACTTGATTTATTCATTGACTACCTTGTTCTTTTTCTTCTGCCTTATAAGATTTTTTTATTTTGAATTAGAGCCACAGGTAATAGGACTTTTTTTTATAACTACTGCTAATTGAGTTCTGTATAGGATACTATACAGTCATAGATAGCGTTTCCCCAAAACAAGGCCACGCCTGCCTTATAACTAGCCACCAGCAAGAGGACAGTGGTAGCAGGTGAAGTAGGATAGGATGGTAGGGCTGGCATATTTGGCCTCTAGTTTTCAAGGCAGATTCTTTTCCTGCTAGGTCTTATTTTCAGGGAGGGGGACAATATGAAAGATATAAAGAGATGCCTAATTACATAGATGCATTCTGAGGGTTCAGGTATCCCCAGACAAGCCCCAGTAGATGCCTGTAGTTAAACACTTATGTTGATGTGTGTATTCTTGCCTTGCCTGAGTTTCTTTTTAGAAAGGATTCCTGCCATGTTACTCGGCACTGTAGAATAGGAGGATGCCCATCAAACACCATATCGTCTGTAGTAGTGGTGGGCACACTGGTCACAAGGGGGTAAAACCAGCACCTAGCAACTGGCAGAATCACAGAAAGTGAAGTCAGAGACTACATAGATACGCTTTGTGCTCTTACAGTTTGTAGTTCTTCCTGTCCTTAGGAATAATTTGAACAACTATCTGGACAGAAAGATAACCACAGATAAGCACTGGAGAATTGTTTGAATTTGTGCAGCAAAGAAAGCATGGTGTCCTCTCTCCTTCTTTGGCCTCTCTCCTGAGAACCTGGTTTCTGCTGAGCAACATGAGTTCCAATGGAATCTGGAGAGACTCTCCCAGAAGCCTAGGAAGCTAGGGGAAGACCAAAATGTGAGGCCTGTGGGCATATGCAGTCTTGGTTCTAAAACTATTTTAAAATAAGATTTGACTTTTTAAAATATCATATCCAATAGAAAGAAATCAAGTTTTATATCAAGATAAGAAAGTAAGCAGGGTGTGGTGGTACATACCTGTTATCCCAGTACTCAAGAGGCTGAGGCAGGAGGTTTGCCACAAATTCAAGGCACTCCTGGACCACATAGTAAATTTAAGGTCCACTTGAATTGCAAAGTGAGACTCTGTCTAAAAGAAAAGGGGGAGAGAGAGAGAGAGAGAGAGAGAGAGAGAGAGAGAGAGAGAGAGAGAGAGGAGAGGAGAGGAGAGGGGAATGGAGAGGAGAGGAGAGGGGAATGGAGAGGAGAGGAGGGGAGGGGAGGGGAGAAAGAACAAAATACTGGAGTTAAAAGATGTGACTTCTAGACTTACTGCTGTCTCTTATTAGCTATGAGATCTTCAGCACATAGCTTAACCACTCTGATTTGCCTTCTGGAAGATGAGAATAACATTGCCCATCTTGCCCATATATGAGACTATAATGGAAGTCCCCAAGTAAGATGACAAAACGTATATTGTGTGCTCTGAGTTGTGACAAGAAATAGAACAGAGCGTTACACTGGTCTTGCGTGGGTAGTTCACTGTTGACATTGAGATCGGAGTACCTAATTTCTTTCAGCTCCCAAAATATGACTCAGAGTCTTGGCAAAGACCAACACAGATATTTTTTAGATACCTGTGAGAGGCCAAGCCAGGAAACAGTTCATTCCAAGGAAAATGATTGGTGTGGAAGTTGTTTCCAAGTGACATCCTTGAAGTGTCCTGTGACCCGACCAACCTCACGTTGGAGTGTGAAGATAAAGAACCCAACAGGTATTTAAAAAGTTATTGTTTAGTTTTAATAAATTCAATGATGGTTTATTCTATGGCATCATTAATGAATCTTAAAAAGCCTGGATTATAGCAACGCTTTTGTAAACAGAGAGATTATAGGAACTGTTTTTTTATAAACTCACTTTAGTTGTGTCTGAAAATACTTAACATTGTTTAATCTTTATATGAGTTAAATATAGAAGAAAATAATTTCAGTTCATTATAGCCTTGAAAAAATTATAATTGCTTTATTTTCAGAAAATCCTTGTTATTGATGGTGTTTACCCTCAGCACTACCTAAGAAAAAAATTTTTAGATGCTACCTCAATATTCTGGTAGCTTCTCCTTCCCTGAACTTTAAAAACAACCTTCTACTTCATGACTTTTTAGTCAAGTATCCCTGAACTAATTGAAGACCATTGCGTTCACGATCTCCATCTTGAGCTGTATCTATATTGAAGTGTCTCTATGGAAGGCCAGAGCACATTGGCCTGCTCTTAACTCTATCACGGTCATGTAAGTTAGCTGACGTCACAGGAAGTAAAGCTAACATCCAAGTCTCCTTCACTTGTTCACCTGAACAGATCTAAGAATCATTACATTGAAGGAAAAGCCAGACAGGATAGTAAAAGCTCTAAAATCCCATTTATGTAGAAGCAAGGAAACATACCAAGACAAAGCAGAAAAGGGTTTTCTAGAGTAAGTGACAAGTAGAAAAATGGTCATAAAGGTGCACAAAGAATCTCTCCCAGATAATGTCAAAGTCCTAATGGCTTCACAGATGTTTGCAGTTGTTGCAGCTCCACAGTTTGGGGTCAGAGCAAGATATTAATTAAATTATTGTCTACTGAGATAGGGAAGACTCAGAATGGGACCCAGATCACTCTGGACATGTCACGTCTGAAATGTCTCTTAGCTCCTGAGGTTGAACTCCTGAATAGGCAGTGGGTGCAAGCTTCAAGTTCAGGAAAGAAAGCTGAGCATGGGGTACATTTGGAGATTGTCGGAATATAGATAACATTTTAAACCAGAGGCTGGATGAAATTCCTGAGAGAATGGGTACAGATACCGAAAGGGGACCAATTTCTTGGGATGGATGAGGAGAAAAATGCAAAGAAAGAAAGAAAGAAAGAAAGAAAGAAAGAAAGAAAGAAAGAAAGAAAGAAAGAAAGAAAGAAAGAAAGAAAGAAAGAAAGACCTCAGGGTCTTCTTCAGGTGGAGTAGGAGGGAAGCTGTGTGGTGGAGCACTCAGAGTGTTGCTCTGGAGACCAGGTGAGAAAGTATATCAAACAGCAGGTACGATCGCCTGACTCAGTGGTTCTGATTGGTCATTTGAAGTGGGCCAACCATTGCATTTTAAAGCATCAAGGGTTTTGAGGATCTGGTCCAGAGGAACTTCAGTAGAATGATGAGGTACTGACATAACTGAAGAATATTATAGGAGAAGAAGAAAGGAACCAGAGACAAATTGTGTGCATGGTTACAGATTTTCTTTCTTTTTTCCTTTGGTACCGGAGACTGAACTCAAGACCTTGTACCTGTCAGGCATGCGCTTATACTGCTGAGCTATAACCCCATGGAATGCATGGAATTTTGCTAGAGAGAGATAGAGACACAGACAGACATACATACAGACAGACAGACAGACAGACAGACAGATAGACAAAGACAGAAAAAGACAGACAGAGACAAAGAGAAAGAGACATACAGAGAAAGTTTTTCATTTAGTTTAGAAAATGTTTTTGTTCAAGGGACTAGGGAGCTAGTTCAGTAGAACAAGTGCTTGCCTGGCAAGTGCAGGGTCCTGAGTTCAATCCCCAGTACTGAAAAAAAGAAAAAGAAAGAAAGAAAGAAAGAAAGAAAGAAAGAAAGAAAGAAAGAAAGAAAGAAAATGTTTCTGTTCTCCACTGCCACCACCATGAATGTTTAGTTTTAAAACTGTTTTCAACCTTACCTATCTTTCTTGAGTTTAGATTTTATCTCTTCTTGGCTAGTTTATTTTGTAGATAAATGTCCTGCTGGACCTTGGTGGCAGACTGGTTTAAAAGAAAATCCACAATTTCCTTTTTAACTAAAGCAAATCAATTTCAGAGAGTTAATTTCTTCGCTGTCCACTCCCTTCGTATACACGCACTTTTTATAATCTATGTATCTAAGGTGTCCTATTTTCTCTAAAATACCAAATCTTCATCATCAGTCAGTTTCTTAGAGAAGGAAATGTGCCCTTTTCCATTATTGAGCTTCTCAAGTAAGAAATGTCATGGATTCTTCCAGAGACTAACCAAGGACCCAGTTAGACTTTAGCTCTGAAAGAGTCTCTAATTACTGATAGGATAAAGTACACGACAGTTGCGGCTGGCCACCAGGGAAGAAATAAATTCTGGCAGATTTTCATCCACCTAAGTCAGTTCCCCTTGAACTTCGGAAAAACAAATGCAGCCCTCATGCTCCATGCGCTCTTCTACTTAGCCTGACCACCAGCACCCGGAAGGAAGGCACAGCATTCCAGGAATCATTTCTCTTTTTGGCAACATGCCTTAGTAATTCAGTTTTTCTGCTTTAATTAGCTACATACAAACATTTCTTCTAGTGCCATCAACAGATTCTAAAGATTCATCAGTCCAGGGGCCGGCCAGATAGCTCAGCAGATTAAAGCACCTGCAAGCAGGCACAGGGGCTGCAGATTCGATCCCCAGGACTGCCATGCTGGCCCTTTTCCCAGGACATGCTGAGACAGCAATTGAGACTGGGCGTGGTGGCACAGGCCTGTAATCCCAGCTCTTGGGAGGCTATAAACAGGAGAATCACTACGAGTAGTGAGACCCTGAACACCCTGTAGACCCCTCCCTAAAATACAGAAAAAAAAATTTCATCAATCCTAGCAGCAAAAGAGAACAAATTTTTAAAGCCAAGTAATGGTTTAAGAGAGAGATTCTTACATTATTCTCTGGGTTTGAGAGATTATTCTGCCTTTGTAGAGAGACATTGAAATTTTAGAAGGAAGTCCACTGGTACACACAGCGATCAACGATCTGTTCTTGCCCCAAGCCCACACCCTTATGAGTCAGGGTGTGTGTGCAGATTCCTTCTGGGGTCCCTTCATTTTCTTACTAGGCATGCTGTTTTTTCACAGGAAAGACTTCTTTAATCACCCACAGTCTTATGTGATCCATCTGCACTGTATTTAACAGAAACGCTTTTAAGCTTCTAACATATGGAAACCCATAATCCCTGCTGTCATCTTATGTAGACACCTTCTTCTTTTTCATATTCTATCTCAAGGAGAGGCTGAGGGTGGCATAACCTGTAGTCACATCATATCTCAGACATGAGGAATGATTTCATACCACCTCAGAAACTGGAATCTGGACATGTACGACTGCACAGCGAGGCAGACAAGAAAGTTACCCTGATGCAGCCCCAGATTTAAAGAGTATGATTTACACTCCAGCTCTCATGACCTCACCAACCGCTACCCAATTTCTGTGTTCCTTGTGATTTCATTTCCTTTACTCCAATAATGATCTTAGCAATGTTTGGGGTGCTGACTGGGGTTCAATCCCCTGCTTGCTCTGCTGACCCCGCCCCCGGGGCACACTGAGGTGGCGACTTAGACTGGGCATGGAGGCACACTCCTGTAGTCCCAGCACTTGGGAGGCTGAAAACAGGAGGATCACTAAGTGTCAGTCTGTGTAGTGAGATCCTGTAGACTTTGTACTAAATACATGAAAAAAAATGTTGGGGGTTGTTTTTTAGGTTTGGTCTCTTTCTTTCTTTCTTTCTTTCTTTCTTTCTTTCTTTCTTTCTTTCTTTCCTTCCTTCCTTCCTTCCTTCCTTCCTTCCTTCCTTCCTTCCTTCCTTCCTGTTCTTTTACTGATCCCAGGCTGAACGCTCTGTTCTGAATGAATGTGACTAGCCTCATCTGCTCCCATCCTAGAGTATAAAGCCCTCATCTTTCAGGAGATAACATCACCTCATACTTCACACAGATGCACACACACACACACACACACACACGCACACACACACGTGCACGCACACACACACCAGAGACCATTGGTCAGAAACTTCCTCCGCTTCTTGCCTTCTCTGCTGAATAAACATTAACCAACTATACTCCTTCTTGCTTTTCAGCTAAATAAATATTCCTTTGTTTAGGGCTAATTCTTCCAGTAGTGCTCTGGATCCTATGCTCCCATGCCTATCAATTTCCTTTGTGATATGATTCTTCTTTATACATAATTTTTTTTGATCCAGGGTCTTACTATGCAGTTCAGATTCATAGTGATGGTCCTGTCTCAGCCTCCCCAGCTCTGGGATTGCAGGTGTGTACCACCACACCTGGGCACGTGGTACCGGAATCGAACTTGGGTCCTTGTATTTGCCCAGCAGATGCTTAGACCACCAAGCCTTCTCCCCAGCCTGTGATGTGATTCTAGTTTCAACTCTTCTCATCTTCCCCGAAGTAGTCAGTGATTACTATGCTATGAAACAGAACAAAACCAAACAAGCTATCAAACCCAAATATGAGAAAATTGTAAGATTAATAAGGATTTAGAGAACTTGGAATCCCTGTGCACTGCTGCTGAGAAGGTAAAAGTGGCCACTGTGGAGAACAATATAGTAGTTCCTCAAAATATTAAAAATAAAAAGAGCCTAAGTTTTCTAGTGGATTCCAGCAAATCCATTGCTGGGCTTATGTCCCCAAGAACTAAAACCAGGGTCTCCAAGAGGCATTTGTACCCCATGCTCACAGTAACAGAAAATGAGTAAACAAAATGTGGTATGTGCATGCCAGGGAGTGTGGCCCAGCCTTGGAAAGGAAGGGAACGGTGACACAGGTGGTAATACCTGTGCCCGTGACAGATCCATGACATGACTCTTCTTGTTTTACTCTGTTGTTAGTGACACACATGATGAACAGTGATGAGCGGTGTGAAGAGAGGGACTCACTAAGGACATCACCTCTGCTTACACTTCAAGTGTTTCTCCTTCGTCTCTCTTCTGGCCACATTACTTTTGAGCACGCTCATCTGCACGTGTAGCTTCCCTGACGCACATATTGTTAACTCTCCAATGTGGGCCTCTCCTGAACCCCCCGCTTCCCAGCCTGCTGGCCCTCTCCATTTGCTCTTCCCTCAGTGCCTCTACTCAACTTGCCCATGTCACTTTATTCCCCCCCCCCGCCCCCGCACACACGTCGCAGTCCGTGCGCTACCATTGTCCAGGGGTCTATGGTAACCAAGCCTTCCCCTACCTGTTTTCCTCCCTGTTCTTGGGATCCTTGGACACGCAGCTGTCTGCTCTGCACTCTGCTGGCTGTCACCTCCCTTATCAGTACCCGGCCACTCATGTCCTGTCTGGACTCCACCACTCCACTTCCTGAAGTGTTGGAAAGCAAATTGCACAAATCATTGTTTTGCTATAAATAGCTCCGTGTTTATCTCTAACTAGATAAGCAGCTTTTCAAAACAAAGTACAGTGTTTTCTTGACCATATTCTAAGTGTGGTCTACTTTTGCTTATGCTCTCTGCATAGTAATTTAGGCATTATACTATAAATCACTTCACCACTTTTTCTGAAATGTCTGAGCACTTACTTCCATTAGGCTTTACCTATTCTTTAGGTTTGAGATTTTTTCTTACCCTTTCTTCTGGAGTCTGTTGATATTTACTTATTTATTTATTTATTTATTTATTTACTTGGGGCACTGGGATCGAACTCAGGACTTTATGATGGCCAGGCAGGCACTTATACTGCTCAGCTATCTCCCTGGCCCTGTTGATTTTTTTTTTTTTTTTTTTTTTGTGACCAGCTCAGCCCACCCTGGGGATGGGGCTGGCATGGCATGTGGTGCCAAGATCGACCACAGTCCCTGTACTTTACTTAAGCTTGCCTAAGCAAGCGCCTTAGACCGTTGAGTATCTCACTGGCCCCATATGTGTAGCATCAAATTTATCATCCTCACTATTTAAGTGGACCATTCGATACTGTTAAGTACATTCCAACTGCTGTGCAATCTCCAGAACATTTTCATCCTGTGAAACTGAAACACATTAAACAGCTCCTCATTCCCCTCACCCCTCAACCCCTCAGAGTTTGTTTCTGCGGACTGTATACAAGTGGTATGAAACATCTGGAAGGCAAATACAGTATCTGCCTTTCTGCTACGAGCTTATTCCGTCTAGCCTTGTGGCCTCGGGGGTTGTCAGGGTTAGTGCCTGTGTCACCGTTCCCTTCCTTCCCACGGCTGGACCACACTCCCTGGCATGGACATACCGCATTTTGCTTACTCATTTTCTGTCAACAGACTTGCTCCACCTTCTGTGAGTAAAGTTACTGTGAGCGTGGGATGCAAATGCCCTTTGGAGACCCTGATTTTAGTTCTTGGGGACATATGCCCTGAAGTGGATTCACTGGAATCCACTTGAAAACTTATGCTCTTTTTATTTCAATATTTTGAGGAACCACTGTACCATTCTCCACAGTGGCCACACCCCCTTCTCCTCAGGAGTGCACAGGATTCAAAATCCCAATCCAGCTGTGCAGCATTTCTGGTCTCTTCAGTCAACCCTCACCAGCCCATGCACACAAGCAACCACTGGGCCGATTGCTATTCCTGCAGATTAGTTCCGCTTTGCTTAACTTTCATGGAAATTTAATCATCCTGCCACATACTTGGGTGTGTCTGGCCTTGCTTGCTTTGCAATGCCTTCAAGATGCATCTGGGTCATTAGTTAATTCTATTTTCTTCTGAATAGTAGCTCGTTGCATAAGTATAATCGATTTTCTTCTTCTGGTGACGAACGTTTGGACTGTGCCCATTTTTTGACAGCTATAAATGCATTTGCCTTATATATTCTTGTACAAAATATTCGAGGATTATGTCTTTGCTTGGATAAATGCATAACAATAAAATCCCTGGCTCTAAAGGAGTTTATAAGAAATGTCCAGACAGTTTTGCAATGTGTTTGTACAATATTATACTCCAATCAGCCATGTGTATAAGGTCAAATGCGCCACACCCTCATTAATATTACTGTTGTATCCTCTGTGTTAGTTTTGTGTCTCCAAAGCATCAAATTCTTGCCAGTATTATTATTGTATAGTGTTTAGCCATCCTCGTGGGTCTGAATGGTATTTATTCCAGTTTTGGTTATCTTTTGGTATGAAATTTATTTTTAGTTTCTAAACATGAGTTACTTGTACTGTAACATTGCTATAAACATTGTTTGCTATGTATGACCTGCTTTTCATATTCCTAACATAAATCTGTGATAAATTAAAAAAAAAAGAATTCCATATTCTCTAAATCCTTACCAATCTTGTTGTTTTCTCATGTTTCGGGTTTGCCAACATATTTGGCTTTTTTCTGTTTGATAGCAGCCACCCTCGTAGGCACAGGGTGGCACTAACACTCGTTAAACAAATGTTAGGCTGCAGTATCACCGGCAACTAGCAATGCTTCGTGTTACCTAATGGAGCAGATTTCTGACACACTCTTCCCGCAGACTGGCCCTAGCTGCTTCCATTTCATCTGATCAGAAGCTTCTTTTTTTAACGTAATTTTATTGAAAAACAAATAGCAATAAGACAGTTTCAAATCCAATTAGTAGGACAGTTTCAGTAATTAATACATTGCATATTGTTGTCTTAGTGGTTATCCATTGTACAAGATGCAGACATGATAGCCTATTTACAAACACTATTAGAACAAATCTTTCTATTCATCGAATTAAGAGAATGTAGCTGTATATCTATCCTATTTTGAATATACAGATACAAAATGGTCATTCATTTGTATCCCCTGTTTTTGTTTAGTTTTGTCATTTAAATATTATAAATGTGTGAATTCAGCAAAATATTCCAAAGTAGTCCAGTAGTCCATAATAGTAGTGGGTTTTCCATAAGACTGGCAATGTCAGAAGTTGTTGACTTGAGCCTTTTACAGCTCAGCATATTAATATGGCTTCACTTTTTATATTTGGTTTTTTTACTTTTCTACTGGATGGTTAAGACCAAGATAAAGCAAGACCTAAATAACAAGAAATGTAGCTTTTGTATCTCATAAGCTCAGTCCAATCCTCTCAGGATTTATCCTGAAACCCTGTACCGCAATTTGTAGATCCTTTGTTAGTGTCAGCAAGTGTGCCTAAGGAGAGTCACATGATCAGAAGCTTTAAGAACACCACTGATTCCTCTCTTATTCTTTTACCTCATATCTGATCTTTTAGAAAATCTCAAAATATACCCAGGACGCTTCCCACCTGCACCCCTCCCCCGACTTCTCACTCTTCCACCCTGTTCGAGCCACCATCCTTCATGCGAGTCGCTTCAGCAGCCTCCTAAGAGCTTTCCCTGCTGCTCTGCTCTTGCCCCTTCAGTCTGTTCTCTGCTCAGATCCAGGATCACCTCATTAGGAATGAGCCCCAGATCTCACACCCTGCTCAACTCCTTCCAGTGGTTCTCCACTTACCCTCAGCAGAAGCAGAAGCCTTTCATGGCTTGGGTGGCCCTGTGAGATCTGAGTCTGAGTTGTCTACCTCCTCTTATAACTTTCTGAATTTCCTCAGAGTGTATCCTTCCCATCCCTGAAGCCACCTTGCTGTCCTCGCCACCACACTCCCCCTCAGCGAGGACCTCAGCTGCTTCTCCCCAGGGTGGAGCAACTTCATCCTTCTCTCTGATGGCAGGTGGTTGGCTTCACAGCAAAGCCTACTCTTAGTACAATTATGAATTGGTAATGTTCTGTGGTATGTGGGAATAAGCCCACCAAGCAGTGGGCTACATCCCAGCCCCTTTCTAAAAAGTTTTATTGTAAGACAGGGTTCTACTGAGCTGCTTAGAGGGCCAAGGACTTGTAATTCTTCTTCCTGCAGCCACTAGAGTAGCAGAACTACAGATGTGTGCCACCACGTCTGGCAACGCCTTTTAAAAAAAGAAAAGTAACAATTGCCCCAAGAATTTTCTGCTGTCCCCCCAGGTTTATTTTTTCCTATAAACATTATTATTGTCTTATATACTGCATATTTTGCTTTTTGTTTATCTTTCCCTAGTGACATTAAAGTATAAACTTCAAATGTACAAACACTTTTAGATAAAATTCTCATATATAATTTGACTTTATAGACAATTTCTATGTGAATACAGTTCATATGCTTATACATTTTTGTGGTTGCCCCCTAGATCTGCATGATAATTTAAAAAGCAAAGTGAAAGAATGCACATCTTTCCAAAGCAAGAAAACTGGCAGGAATTGGACAGATGATGAAAAAAGGATCTACAGGGATAAACGAACAGTTCAGTCTCAAGAACTGTTGCAGTATTTTCTCCCTATCATGGAAAGCCCTAAAAACATAGACACCAATCAGATAAGACGGCTGTTCAATTCAAAAACCAACTTACCAATTTCACATCAGTAAGTCAATATCACTCTATAATGTCTAAGTTTTTATTTTCTTATTTGCAGTGTTGAAGATCAAACCCAAGACCTTGTGCAGGCTAGGCGAGTACTCTGCCACTGAGCCATGCCCTCAGCCCATTTCTACTATTTAAATCATTCTTTTTAGAAGGAAGTGATACTTATTAATTCATTATGATGAGACACAATCCTGGATAGACAAGTAGGCTTTTGAAAATGGTGTCATCTACACCACATTTGGCCAAGGGCAAAAGCCATTGTGAAACACTACACATAGATATGTGAAGGACTGGGGCCTTATTTGAGTGTTTTTTATCTGAAACCATTCATTTGGATCTATGACTACAGTGTGCATAAATAATATGGTCTTAGACTGACATGAAATGTTTCAGGTATTTATAAACCTTGTAATCCTAGTGGAACTAAAAATAATTAACTTGAGTTATTTCAATTTATTGATACTCAGAGGAGAACAAAAAGGATCTGATACTTCTTTTAAATATTAAAAAAAAACACCTCTAAGACCAAGAAAAGATCCATATAAGCAAAGACAGTAACAAGCTGAAAGAACAAGTCTAATATTAACCTTACCAATAACTTTACAAAGTACTTTCTGTGTGCTAAAATTCTAAGTTATATATCTGTATATAGTTGGCCTTCCAAATATATCTGGTTCCCTATATCTGGTTTCCCTATCACAGATTCAACTAACCTCAGATCTAAATGCATTTTTAATGCACAATTCATTGGATCCATAGATGTAGGACCTATGGGTACCGAGGGCCAACTGTACACCTTACATCGTAACATAAGAAAACTGAGGTATAAAGAGATCAAGTGGTTTGTCTGGAGCCCCCCCCCATCCCAACATGCAGCAGAGTCAGGAGTCAAGCCCACTCGTATTCTAATTCCATAGTCATTTTCAACTTTTAACATTATGCTTCGTCTTTTCTCTTTATAGCATAACTGAAAAAGAGAACCAATATAATTAAAATACAATGAATACCTATAAATCTACTAGGAAATTAGGAATATTTTCAGAAAAAAATGGCCATAGCTACAAATGAACAACTATAAAAAGAAAAAGTATGATAACAAACATTAGAAATGTATGATCTTGGCAAAATCCAAAGAATGCAGACTAAAACAGTGATGAAATTCCCCTCTTGCTGCTTCAGGGAAGAATTCATTCAGTGATTGTGGGAACCTGAAGTAATACAGTGTTTCTACAGAGCAATCCAATAATATAAATGAATAATCTTTACACAGATTCATACAGTGTGTGTGTGTGTGTGTGTGTGTGTGTGGTTCTAGGAATTGAACTCAGGACCTCATGCATGCTCTCCACTAGCTCTACCACTGAGCTAGCTACACCCTCAGTTCAGATTCATATTTTTAAAAATGTATTTATTTGGTGCATGGTCTTGCTACGTAGCTCAGATTCATAGTGATCCTCCTGTCTTAGCCTCCCCAGCACCAGAATTACAGGCTTGGGCCACCTCACCTGGTTTTGGTGACTAGCAAAGGTGCACCCAGGGTTCCAGGGCCAGCACAACATGTAGTACTGGGGATCAAACCTGGGTCCTTGCACTTGCCAGGCAGGCACTTAGACTACTAAGCTATCTATCCAGCCCTCAAATACATGTTGACTACAAGATTCCACTTTTAGAAATTTCCCCTTAGGGGAAAAACATAAAGGCTAAAAGGTGTGTGTAAAATGATGTTCATTTTGGTATTATTAGAGGGGTCAAAAGAAGAAAAATGCAAGAACCTAAGTGCTTAACAACAGAAGACTGCTTAAATAAGTTATGGTACATCTACAAAATGAAATATTATGTAGCTACTCAATATTGTAAGTGAAGGTTAATATGGAATGACATTCACAATATGTAAGTGAATAAAATAGGCTAATTAACAGTTTGATTTCATAATATTGTATTTATATGTATGTGTATACTATTATATACACTGAAATGCACTTATAAGTACTAGAAGCACATCTTTCTAAAAATGATTATTTATGCATAAAGTATCAGCATGGATGACATTCCTCTTCACACTATTTTTCCTAGATGTTCAATTAGTGTTTCTTCATTGTATAATCAGAAACATTATAAGAATGAGCCAGCAGGAGACAGTGGCACAGCCCTGTAATCCTAGCACGAGGGAGGCTAATCAGGAGAATTATTGGGAGTTTGAGGTCAGCCTGGGCTACAAAGTGAGCTCAAGGCCGGCCTGAACTGCATAGTAAAACCCTGTCTCAGAAGGACAAAATATAACAGGAATGAGCCACTGGTGGTGGTGTCTCATGGAGTAGGGCAGTGGGGGTGCTGCTGGAGAAGGCAGTGCCTGACTGTAAATCAGCTATTAGGGAGCAGGCACAGTGGAAGGTCCAGGGAGGTCCGGAATCAAATGTAGCAATGCCAACAAATCTCAAATCAGGAACCTATTAACAGATACAGAAGATAGAGGCAGAGACTGGGAAGCAGAGAATCTGGAGCTAGGAAGGTCCAGGTGACAATGGTTGGTCATTACACTCATAAGAGACCCCTTACTTGTTGTGGACCCAGAACACTCCATGTGGGCTGGCCTGATCAGGTGCAGACAGATGCTAGGTTGTATTAAGGCTTCCTTGTTTACGGATATTAAAAAAAAAAAAAAAAAAAAAGCTGCCGAGTTCCGGGAGGCCCCAGACCCAGTCCTAGCCCAGGTCTGGTGAGTGAGCAGAGAGCTTCCTGCTACCCTGCGCCGATAGGACCAGTCCCAGCCCAGGCGCAGAGTGGGCCAGACCTTCTCCCAGCCCCTTGGGCCACCCCCCCCACTCCGCAGTGCCTCCCCCACCCCTCCTGCTGAGTAGGATTTTCTGCCCAGTTTTGGGAGCCCCCAGACCCAGTCCTAGCCCAGGTCCGGTGAGTGTGCGGAGAGCTTCCTCTTCCTCCAACTTCACCTTACCCCACCCAGGCACAGCTCAGGCCTGGCATACACGCCTGAGGTGTAATCCTGCAGCTGCAACTTCTGCAGGGGAGAGT